TTACGGTGTTAACGTGCCGATGGCCGTTGCGAAGTTGATTGCGACTACTGGGATGGAACAAGATGGACCGCAGGAGAGGCTTCTCTGTTTGTTTGCCTGTGTCTCTGGGTCTCTGTGTCTCCCTGTCTGTGTGTGTGTGGGGGTTGTCATGCAGTTACCAATCGAAAGTAAAGTCTGTGTGGGTGTGCCTATATGTGCGTACGCGTGTGTTTTTGCTTGTGTATTCCTGAGAAGCTTGCCAAAATCTCCTGAACTCTAAGCCCTACATAAAACCTTAACCTGCAAGGGAAGACGTCACCTGCCCTGACCCTGAACCCTAAACCTTAAACCCTAAACCTTAAACCCTAAACCCTAAACTCCTAAACCCTAAAGACCCTAAACCCTAAAAACCCCAACCTGTAGCAGAAGGAATCCGCCTACAGCGCCGGTGCCTGCCTTGGCTGTGCTGGGAGCGATTCTCTGTGGTTAAAGAGGGGTTTAGGGTTTAGGGTTTAGGGTTGAGTATGTAATCTGTATAGTCTAATACTGATACTCTTTGAAGCTTTGGTTAAAGAGTCATGCAATCTAAATATGAAATTTATGTAGTATTTATACTGATGCTGATATCGTGAAAGAACACTGATGAAAATCTATTCGAATTTGGCTTTGGTTTTGGCACATAGGAGCCTAGCAGAGTCCTCTTGGACGGGTCAACTCCTTCCCGAGCTGGTGATTGTTCTGGGGCATTTAGCTGGGCCCCATTGAGTTTCGGAAAAAGTTTCCTCTAAGCAACGAAGTGAAACCATCGTAAGCAGGAAGTAAGCGTGAGAAAAGGGCCTTGCTTTCTTAATCTTTTAACTTGGGCCCTGTTCACTACTTCTTCTCCCTTTTGCCCACATTTTACAATTCAATTGCACGCACTTTTTGTCATCGCTTGCTATTCGGTTAACAGCACTTGAAATACTAGGGCTAAGCTGTTGCAGCTCTCATGAACCCTTTCGTACACCATCAATCTCATGACACCTTAACTGCTCAAGAGCCCGTCCATGAAGAGCACCCATGAAAGGTTGCAGCCACAGAGTCGCACAGGCTAGTTCGTAATGATATGAGGAGGTCATGGATTCTCTGGGCTTAAGCTCATACATAACTTGATGGGTTTTTGTCGGATTTACGGGAAACAGGTGCGTTCTTGCATCCCCCTGCAAGTACCTTGTTTCATCGCCCTGCAATATAGTCACTTCTCTAAAATACGGTTCCTTCTGCAGTTACCATTTCTAAGGGGCCGCCTGTAATATTGAGGGTACCCATACAGGGCCCACAAATTCGAGAAAAGACCATCTGACCGCTCAACAATCTCTCGAAGCTCCAAGAAACAAACACCCAAAAGCCTGAAGCCCTTCTGGCACGAAGGTGAGAAGGTGGAATATTTCAGTGTGAGCCAGGACCGGAGCCCTTTAGGAGTTAGGGTTTAGGGGTTCGGGTGTTGGGCTTGGGGTGTTTCGGGCCCCAAGTAAATTTCTCTTGATTTTTTGGGGGAAATTGGGGTACCCTTTGCCTAGGGTTTAGTTCAGGCTTGGGACCCACAGGGCGCCGGGGCGTTAGGGTTGCATAAGGGCGTTAGGGATCGGTATTTGTTAGGTGCCCTTCTTGGGTTCGAGAGCACCTTCTTTTGACACATGTTCAGAGCGTTATTGAGGGCCAGGTTTGGGGATTAGGGCCTTTAAGGTGGGCAGGCTCCTAGGGTAGTTTCATGGTCCCTGTATTATGGTCCCCTACCTCTTTTAAATTAAAGGGCTCGGAACCCTTGGGTTGTATAGGGTGTACAAGGGGCTTCAGAAGGGGTATATAAGGGGTTCCGTTTTAAGGGCCCATGCTAAGGGACCATGCCTTAGACAGGCCTGTTGGTGTGTGGTGGGCCCTACTTCTTTAGGGTTGAGGGTTTAGGGTTTCTTGCAGAGCGGTGCGCATGTTTTCGAGCTTCGGGTTTCATAAGCTTTGTCTACCGCTCTAAGGCTTTGGGGTTTACGGGTGTAAGATGGCAAGAACTGGGAGTTGAAGGGGCTAAGATGCTCCAATGCTACCCTAAACTCTTTACAGTTTGGTAACCCTAAGCCCTGAGCCCATACACTCTGAACTCTCAACCCTCAACCTTCAACCCGCCCCCCCCAAATTCCCTTAGGGCCGAGCCTTGACCCCCCTCGAACATAAGACGCCCCAGGGAACTGCTGAGCCCTTCACTTAAACCCCTGCTAATCAAACCCTAAACCTTAAACCTTAAACAACTTAAACCCCAAGCCCTCAATTAGGGTTTAGGGTTTAGGGTTTAGAGTCTGGGGTCTAGGGTCTAGGTTTGAGGGTTTGGTGGTTTAAGGCTTAGGGTGTAGGGTTTACTACGGTTAAGGTACCTTCCGAAGTACCTTCAAGATAAGTTGCCAACTGTTTTCAAGTGAACCAAAGCAGCGACCACTCAGAGAACCCTGTATATCCGTAAGCCCCAAGGTCCGAAAATGTCCAGGGCTTAGGGTGGGGGTTTTGAGGGGTTAGGGGGTCACTTAAGAGTGTTCGGGTCTCGGGTGATGCCGAAGATGGCATCCGACCTCACCCCCGGCCCCCCCCCCCCTCCCCCGGCCCCCACTCTCCGCATCCTGTCCTCGGAAGGGCAAGTGGATCTCGGCCAAAGTGATGCAGCTTGCTTGCAACTTGCAACCCCGGCAGTAAACTTCGAATTCCTGAACCCTAAGCCCTAAACTTCCAGCCCCAAACCCCAAACCCTAAACTTCAAGCCCTAAACCCTAAACCCTAAACCCTAAACCCAAAACCCTAAACCCTAAACCCTAAACCCTAAACCCTAAACCCTAAACTCGGGTTCTTGGTCTTGGGCTCTCCAAGATGGGAAGCCGGAGCTGCAGCCTCCCCCTGAAGCATCGCACGAGTGCTAACTGCGCGTTTCGCCGTAGGGTTTAGGGTTTAGGGTTTAGGGTTTAGGATTTAGGGTTTAGGGTTTAGGGTTTAGGGTTTAGGGGTTTTGGGGTTTAGGGGTATAGGGTTGGGTTTCTAGGGTGTAGGGCTTGGGGGTTCAAGGTTAGGGGTTGAAGGGGTTCAGGGTTTTTGGGTTCAGGGAAGAAGGAATTCCGGAAGAAGGGTTAATATTGCCTGAGTAGGGGTATGTGGGGCACCAAGCTGCCCAAGTCCCCTTCCTAAGCCCCGAAGCCACCGTTTAGGCTTTACATGGTTTAGGAGCAAGTTTCGGGTTTAGGGTTTAGGGTCTAGGGTTTAGGGTTTAGGGTTTAGGGTTTAGGGTTCAGGGTTCAGGGTTTGGGTTCGTGATTTTCTGCTCTGGTCCTAGGATTCTTGGCTATAAAGTTTACTCTTCAGGGTTAAGGCTTTGAGGTTCAGAATCCAGGCTTTGTGGGGGGTGTTGGGTCGAACGCAGTGGAAGAGTCATTCATCCGGATTTTTTAGTAGAAGTCAAGGAGCATTCTCATCCTCCTGAGTTCCGGGGTCCGCACACGCACACGCAGGAGCCAGAGGCAACCCCAGACCCGAAACCCTAAACCCGAAACTCTAAACCCGAAACTCTAAACCCTAAACCCTAAACCCTACACCCTAAACCCTAAACCCTTCGGGTTTAGGGTTTCGGGTAGCTTCCCTCAACCTCAACTTCTTGCCGAGGCAGGTCAAAGGTGCCGGACGGCTGGAGCTCGATTGCAAGTCCGATGCCGCGCCCTTGGCAGAGAGCACCCCTTAGTTTTTTTTTGGGGGGGTTTAGGGTTTAGGGTTTAGGGTTTCGAGTTTAGGGTTTAGGCGGTTTAGGCGGTTTAGGCGGTTTAGGCGGTTTAGGCGGTTTAGGCGGTTTAGGCGGTTTAGGGTTTAGGGTTTAGGGTTTAGGGTTTAGGGTTTAGGGTTTAGGGTTTAGGGTTTAGGGTTTAGGGTTTAGGGTTTAGGGTTTAGGGTTTAGGGTTTAGGCATTTTAGGGTTTTGGGTTTAGGGTTTTGGGTTTAGGGCATAGATTATAGACCCTGAGCCTAAAGGGCACCCTTTCAGGGTCGTAGTTTCTTTTTCGTTTAGGGTCGCTCAGCTTTGGATATGTTAGGGTTGCTGGCATGTGTAAGGTTATTTAAGTTTCGGGTTCGTATTGTTTCGGAGTACCCAGTTATTTTTGTTAACGGAAAAGCAGCGTACCCAAACAGGAAATTCCCGGTTTGGGTCTTGGGATTTCTCTGAATCTTGGACCCCTTTTCGGTTCCCTCGTTCCTTAAGCTCCGTATGATAATCGGAGCCCCCCCCCCCCCCCCAAAAAAAAAAAAAAAAAACAAAACACACACACACACACACACACTTAAAATAAGAATAAAAGGACCATAGTATAGAAACAAACCCGAACCCTAAACCCTAAACCCTTAAAGAATACATGCTTCAAAAGCCTGGCACATGGGGTCCGAATGCCCATCGCAGGTTTCCGACGAATACGTCCGGAAAAAGCGCACGCAGGGGGCCTCGGCTTGCCCTAAGGGTTTTTGGGTTTAGGGTTTAGGGTTTAGGGTTTAGGGTTTAGGGTTTGGGGAGGGTTTTAAGCTGCAGGGTCCAGGGTGTAGGGTTTATGTACCTATTTTGTATTTGTACTTGGGCTCTAAAACTACTTAGTAGGAACCCCAAAAGAGGGCACCAGTGTATACCAAAAAGGTGCATGGAACATGGATGCTTACAGGCTTAAGCTTTTGAAACGGATTCGTTGGGCTTCGGATATGTATACACATGTGTGTATTATATATATATATATATATACATGTGGGCCTACCTAGAGGAAACCTCGAACATTGGACCCTTGTCCCTTTCTCAGGGTACATAAGTTACTCTAGGTCGAGTGCAATGTCTCTGTCAGTTGCAGTTTTGGCCACGCTGTGTGTAAACCCGGGCGTGCAGAGCCATCTGCAACAAAAGAAGGTTCGTCTGATTTTGTGTTATTTGGTTGTTCACTGCCACAAGTAGTTGTGCTGGTCACATCAGTACCCATTGGTGCAATGCTTAGCATGGCAAATCCAGGTGCGTTGTTCTTACTTGGGGGGTGCCTGTTTGTGTTTGGCCCCTATATTGCCAGTTTTATGGGGACTTAATCTAGAACAAAACCCACAAGTGGGGATGTTCCCCCTCATGCTAACAGCCCTTAATGGGGATTATAGTACCCCCTATTCGAATCCCCATTAAGGACTGTTAGTATAAGGGGGAACATCCCAACCCACATGTCCAGATGTCAACGCCATTCTGCCACAAGGCCAGCTTCGTTTGAGGTCGGCGGGGACCTCAACGCGATCGTTGATTGATTGTCGACTTTGCTTTTCCGTTTCGGCACGGGTGAGCAGAAGTCACAAGAACCCTAAACCCTAAAAGCCTAAAACCCTAAAACCATAAAACCCTTAAACCCTAAACCCTAAACCCTAAATTTGAGCGAAGTCGGCAGTGCTTCTGCCGCAGTGGCTCTTAGGTATGCGAGTGGAGTACTACAGCGCCAGCCAGGCTCGCATCGCCGAAGCAAATGTGCTCACAAGCTCCTGCCTACCCCTAAGCCCTGAACCCTAAACCCTATAAATCTCAAACCCTAAACCCCAAACCCTAAACCCCAAACCCTAAACCTCAATCCCTCGGTTGTTTGTTTTTTGATCCTCATTTTTGGTTTTTGATCCGGCAGCCCTTGGGAAAGGCCAACTGGATAGCCGCCAAGGTCGTGCGCAGCACCCAGAGCACTCACAGCATGGCAATAGGTTCAATAGATCGTCGTTCGATGGCCAGTTCTCCATTGCTTGTTGGTACTTAGGGTCCTAAACCCTAAACCCTGTCCCCTTTTGGGGTACAGTAGCCTGAAGATGAGAACCTGAACCGCAAGCACACCCTAAATCCCAACACCAGGCGATGATAGCAGAAACTCAGCAAGGGACCTAAATTTGGGATGTTCCCCCTTATACTAACTGGCCTTAATGGTTATAGTGCCCCCTATTAACTGTTTTAGAAAAGTGATGATATTAGTAATCGTACCAATAATAGTAATAGAAATAAAAAATAAAAGTTGTAATAGTAGCAATCATAATAATGATAATAGTAACATCCCTTTTAAGGACTGTTAGTATAAGGGGGACCATCCCAAGTTTAGGGCTGGAGCATTCGTCGCCGCTTCCTTTGGCCGAACCCTCTCATCATTGTACCGGTCGAGTCGGGAGGTAGCAGTGTAGGGGTTTAGGGTTTAGGGCTTAGGGTTTAGGGTTTAGGAGTATAGCGGTTCGTTCGATCACAAGTGGAAGGGCGGACGATCTGTAGTAGGATCTTGAGTGGGGTGTGGATAGTTAGACCCCAACCGGGCCTGTACATTGTTTGCTACCTTGAACCCGAAACCCTAAATCCCCCTAAGCCCTAAACCCTAAACCCTAAACCCTAAACCCTAAACCCTAAACCCTAAACCCTAAGCCCAGGGCCGTGAAGGACGGCAAGGTTGATCTCGACTGCAAGGCTGACGCTGGAGCCTCGGGCACCTGGCTCGACTGCTTCTACCCCAAAAAGGGTTTAGGGTTTAGGGTTTAGGTTCTACCTACCCAAGGGCTCCAATGTAGTTCCTTTTTGGGTTAGGTAGGTTTAGGGTTTAGGGTTTAGGGTTTGGGGTTTGGGGTTTAGGGTTTAGGGTTAGGACTCTAGTGTACTACCCCAAAAAGGTCCTACAATGGAGCCTTGGGGTAGAGTCTTCATGCTTGGGGTTGAGGGTTTATGATTTAGGGTTGGGATGTTCCCCTTATACTTGCAGTTTTTACTCGGGAATCTAGTAACCCGCCTCCCCCCCAGTATAATCCCCATTCAGGACTGTTAGTATAAGGAGGAACATCCCAAGTTTGGTATATCATAGGTTGCTCTCGGTAGTCTTCAGGGTTGCAGAGTTCAGTTTGTCACTTGACGGTTTCAAGTCGGTTGAGTGATCAGGGATTCCCGTAACCTGCGCATCGCGAAGCCTGAATCCCTGACCCCTGAATCCCTACCCACCCTAAACCCTAAACCCTAAACCCTAAACCCTAAACCCTAAACCCTAAACCCTAAACCCTCAGGCTGCCCTGGAGAACATCCGCTTGCCTTCGCCCCCACCTGGCTCACAGCAGCTGTGAGAGCCCCACAGGGAGATCTGGGGTTTAGGATTTAGGCTTTGGGGTTTAGGGTTTAGGGTTTGGGGTTTGGGGTTTACGGTTCAGGGTTTAGCTTTCTTGCGCAAGTCCGCGCGGAGCAAGCTCAGGTAAAGCGGGAAAGCCTGAGTCCTGAACCCCTGAACCCGAAATGATGTGCAACGACCTCCAACTTGGAGTAGCAGGGTCGAGGTCGTGTTTCGTAGCCTCGCCTCTGACATTAGTTGCTGGTACTCTTGAGTATGGTTCAAGCAATGGGTATCAGGAGAGACCCCTAGAAGGGACCCTGAATCATCTTCCCCTATATAACCCACTATATAGCTTTGTGGTGCTCTACTGCAACTTTAGATCCTTAGCCTTTTTGGGTTTATTGGGTTTCTTCATAAGGCAGCTAACAGTTTAATTTATAGCTACCCTCCTAAGTGCTGCCAAGATAGGGACTATATACCTGAGATAGCGACTAACAACAAGCCCTAAGGTCCCTTGTAAAGGTCCCTCCTTTCGTCCCTCGAAAGGTACACTAGAACAACGTTCTCTCTACGGGCCCCTGCCATCATGCGGAGTTTAGGGTTTAGGGTTTAGGGTTTAGGGTTTAGGGTTTAGGGTTTAGGGTTTAGGGTTTAGGGTTTAGGGTTTGAGCCATATTCTTAGGCCCCAAAGGCGTCGTCATTCAGAGAGCTGCCTAGGTTCACCATGGTCAGTTCTCTAAATCATGGTCCGTTTTGGGGTACCCTGGTTTAGGGTTTTAGGGTTTAGGGTTCAGGGTTCAGGGATCGGGGCCGCCTGACGATGAGGACCCCAGAAAGGACCATGTGTTGGAGAAGTTACCACGTACATTCAGTAAGGACTAAGGGCGTTTTCTGGGGTGCATGTCAGGGAGCCTCCCTATTGTGGGGAACCCTAAACCCTGAACCCTAAACCCTAAACCCTAAAGCCTCCCATATAAACAGATGGACGGCATCCTTGACCTTCGCAAGGTCAAACGCAAACCCTAAACTACGAATTGCTCAAGAACCCCCCCCAAGATTTTTTTTCAAAAATAGAATCTTCCTTATAAGGTGAATGGTTTTTTATGCTTTAATTCTTATGGGGTTCTCAAGCAAAAAAGTAGTAAAGAGACTGATGGCAATATTCTTTAATTCTTTCGGGGTTCTCAAGCAAAAATAGTAGTAAAGAGACAGATGGGAAGGTCGGACGAGCAGTTCGAAGCCAATGAGCACGTGACTTGGCGGCAAGTCTTCACGCCAAATGGCCTGGATTGGTTTAGGGTTTAGGGCTTAGGGTTTAGGGTTTAGGGTTTAGGGTTTAGGGCTTAGGGCTTAGGGCTTAGGGGTTTAGTCTTGAGGCTAAATGGCCTGGATTTCTGCTTTTAGGAGCTGAAGTTAAAAGAGTCCGACTTGCCAAACAAAACCGGGAAAAGGTACCCTGAGCCCTACGTCCCAAACTCCCTGGGGCTCTCAAAGTTTCCTACAGCTTGAGTTTAGGCACTTGGGTTCTGGGCTGATGCCATTAACAAACTCAGAAGCTTAAACTCCAACAAAACACTACCCTAAACCCTAAACCCCAAACCCTAAACCCTAAACCCTAAACCCTGAACCCTAAACTTTTTAGCCCTGTGCAAAGCCCAGGCTTTACACACAGAAACTGTGAATTCATCCTAAGGTCGAGTATTTCGGCGCCAAGCTGCAACGCTGGATTCCTGCAAAGGCACCTGCCACGTACATGTAGGTGCTTTTTGGGGGTTTAGGGTTTAGGGTTTAGGGTTTAGGGTTTAGGGTTGGCGTCAAATGTCAGGGGCATGCCATGGGGAGGGAACTTGGTACAGCCGTTTTGCTCCGCAGGGTGCATCGTGTTTTCTTAGGCACGCACAGAACCTGAAGCGCATTGGGTTCATGGACCTTCGCATTGATCTCGACAGCGACAGTTAGCCACCTTTTTGGAGTTCTGGGTTTGTCATTGCCTTAACCCTCAAACCCTTTAATCCAAAGCCTAACATAAAGGTGTCGCTGAGGCTTCTGCTTGCCAGGGCAGTGCCACGGCCCTACCCAACCTCGGAAACGTCAGTTCGCCAGCGGATTCGTGTTTAGGATGGCTTAGGGTTTCGGGTTTCGGTTTGGGTCCCAGAAGCAACTGCTGAGAGGATCACGGGCACTACTTTTTTAGCGGCTTTATGGTCTACAGGGTTTACAGGTGCAGGGCTTTACTGGGTTTTGGAGTACTATACTTTGAGGTTTTTGTTGGGTCTGGGTTTCGATTATGGCTGCTTATACCTAAAAAGTATATACCTGGTTTTTTCAGGGTCTACTCCAAAGTACGGTTTAAGGCTGAAGCCCTCAAGCCAGCTCCCTAAACCCTAAACCCTATACCCTAAACCCTAAACACTAAACCCCAAACACTAAACACTATACCCTAAACCCTAAACCCTAAACCCTAAACCCTAAACCCTAAACCCTAAACCCTAAACCCTAAACCCTAAACCCTAAACCCTAAACCCAGCTCTGGAAGGTCCTCCGCCGGAACGAGGACGGAACTTTCGACCTGGATTGCAAGCCCCAGGTGCCCAAAGATCGGCTCCGAAAGGCCCAGGCAGGAGAGCTTTTTTAGGGTTTAGAGGGTTTAGGGTTTGGGGTTTAGGGTTTGGGGCTTTTGAGGGTTTTTTTTGGGAAGGTTTTTGAGGGGTTTTTGAGGGTTTTTGGGAACACTTTTGAGGGGCTTTTTGAGGATTTCTTGGAAGGTTTTTGAGGGTTTTTGAGGGTTTTGAGAAGGTTCTTGAAGTTCTTGATGGGTTTTTGAGGGGTGTGGTCAGCAGCTCATCAGGGTTGAGGGTTGAAAGGGGACAGCTGAGGATCCAGCTAAAGGCGGGGGTGCTTCACCCTTGAATTTGCATGATTTTGTGGCGCATCGAGGGGCTTTCGTCAAGGTCTTGCGGGACTCTGCCGAAAGAGTAGCCGGTCTGAGTGTTTGAGTGTTCGTTCTCGGTTCTCTTCAAGCCTTCAACCTCTGTCGCGTGGGTGCGGATTTCGGGTGAACTACTATTTCCTTAAAAACGCAACGAAAAAGGAAAGTTACAACCCTTACACGGAAGACTATTTTGTATTCAGGTATACATACATCAATTATCATTATTATTTCTTTGGAGGGGGTCTTAAGCAAATAGTTTGGGATGTTCCCCCTTATACTAACAGTCCTTAATAGGGACTATAATGGGGGGTACTATTATCCCTAATAAGGGCTGTTAGTCTAAGGGGGGACATCCCAACAATTTGTAGTTAAGGGGCTTGGTGCACTGCGTGGATTAGGGGGTATACGGACGGACCCCTAGAAGGGACCCTTGATCGTATTCCCCTGTATAATTAACCCCTATATATACCATATACCTTATTTAGACCCTATTTACCTAAGCAGCCCCCAAAGAGACCCCGTAAACCCCAAACCCTAAACCCTAAACCCAAAACCCTAAACCCCAAAACCCAAAACCCTGAACCCTAACCCCCAAATAACCCATCCCGTCTTTAGTCCCTTGAGTGGACTTGGAGCCTGGAGGCCCGGAGCGCTGCCAGCTCGCGCGCGGGATCCCCTTTGAGCCAGGGGCTTAGGGTGTAGGGTTTAGGGTTTAGGATTTAAGGGTTTAGGGTTTAGGGTTTAGGGTTTAGGTAGGGTTTAGGGTTTAGGTCATGAGCCATTGCTTGAGAGTCCTATTAATGACTGTCAGTAAAAGGGGCTTGGGTCATGAGCCATATTTATTCTTACGGCGATTAGTTATAGGGTTTTTTATGCTTTTTACTACTACTCTTTTCTTGTTGGGGTGATTATGACTATTCTTATTGTTATGATGTGTTTCTGCTATTCCTTCATTTTTGTGTTGACATGTTCATCATGGGCGTGGGATTTGGGATTTTGGTATTGGCTGCCCTAGCCCTAAACCCTAAACCCTAAACCCCTAAACCCCTAAACCCCTAAGCCCTAAACCCTAGCCCTCAACCACCCCAATTCCAGTGCTGGAGGCACGGCGCAGTGCCCTCTCTTCAAAGAAGGCGACAAGGCTTTCCCTTGGGATGTTCCCCCCTTACTAACAGTCCTTGATGCTTTAGAGTTTAGGGTTTAGGGTGATATAGTCCCTAGTAAGGACTGCAAGTATAAGTGTTGCGCTGGCTTCGGTGTGAGTGTGTCAAGCATGGTTCGGGTCTTCTCGGAAGTTATGTACATTTTGAGCAGGGTTCAGGGTCTAGGTTCTTAAGGAGGCCTTGGGACGTTTCATGTCTTCCCTTATTGGGTTTCAAGAGGACCAGATTCAGGAACATTTTTCAGAGGGTTTGAAGGGCAATCCTAGTTTAGGGAGGCTTTTCGTAGGGATTCTCCGTTATCGTGATGAGACCCTAAACCCTAAGCCCTAAACCCTAAACCCTAAGCCCTAAGCCCTAAACCCTAAACCCTAAACGGCCCTCAACCCTAAACTTACTAAGTCCCATGATCCTCCAAGTAGAAACCTCTTCGCCCGACATCTTACACGGAGCAGGCTGTGCTCATAGGGTTTAGAGTTTAGGGTTTGGGGTTTGGGGTTTAGGGTTTAGGGTTTAGGGTTTAGGGATACAGCTGACTGCAAGGTGGAGTACTTCAGTGGCTCCCAGAGCAGGTGGGGCAGTCCGAAAACTCAAGCTCCTCACTCCCAGTTTCCTAAACTGCCTTAGACGTTCCTGAAAGATTGGGGGACGTAGCAAGCGGTCATCAGGTAATTAGGTAGGTGTTTACGTGGGATAACTTTGATTAGGGTCCCTGCTGGGGCGCTTACTTTGTCTCACATCCTACAAGTAGCGGTCTAGAGGACCTTCAATACAGGCCTTCCTTACATGGACCCCAAAGCTTGTTGTGCGGGTTGTTTACTACGAGACTCCTCTATCGGATTCTTAGGCACCCGGACAAATGAAAGATTCTTTGGGGAACTTTGCGCTTTAGGACTTGGCAGTCCTTGGGCTGCTATTTGGGGGGGTGTCCGAAATTAGGGGTACCTTCTTGGGGGTCCTTGTTATCAGGGAATCCTGCCATTTGGGGATCTAGCCCCAAACCCTAAACCCTACACCCCAAACCCTAAACCCTAAACCCTATGTGATGGGGATCCCTTGCTATTTGGGGGTCTTCTTTAGGGGTCCCTTAGTTTCGTAAACTCCCATCTGGGTTTGCCCCTGAACTCAGCATCATCTTGGCACTCTCCGACTGCCATGCCGTCGGGTTGAAACCCTATAAGGGTTTAGGGTTTAGGGTGTAGGGTTTAGGGTTTCAGCCTAGAAGTCCTAAACCTTACGCTGGCGCGTGTAAAACAAGCGTGGGGGCAGCTCGTGTATTTCCAAACACCACCCACCCCTAGACCCCCACTACCCCTAGCCTCCCACCCCCCACCACCGCCCAACGCTTAGACCCCCGCCTCCACCACCCCTCGACCCCCACACCAGCCCTACCCCCCCTCTCCCCCCAAACCTGCCCCCGGCCCCAGCCCCCCCGACCACGCCTAGACCGCCACTCGTGTCTTGCTCACTCGCTCGATCGACGCAATTCGCACCTCTTCGTTTTCCTTGTCCCTGGCAACTACGATCCCTATTTAGGTCTATGGGCCACCCATAACCTTTTAGGGTCCCCTCGGCAGCAGTGAGCTTTCCACAACTACTATCAACACGCAAAGGCCCGCAGTCTTGCGATCCTAGAACAACTTTCATGAACCTCCGATTGTGCAGCGGTACGAGTTGCCAATGCAACGTAGCCCTACACCATACAGCATGTGCATACATCTCCTTACTCGGCAACTCCTGTCTGAGTCTGTTTCCTAAAGATTTCGGGCAACAGACAGTCAAGACGCCTCCGTTCATCCTGCTGTTGTCTTTCATTTTCGCCAAGCTGTCCTTCGGACTACGGACACACCCTTGAAAGCCCAGTGGTACCCTTTCCCTTTTTTCTGGTTCAAGGTTCCCTTATAGAGCAACCAACCAAAGGCAAAGGGTGCCCTTGTCCTCATAACATGGCTACTGAGCTACCAGGCACCTCTCAGCCTGCGAGGTGGATACCTGCAAGAGTGCTGGGTGTCACTGCAGAGGGCAACTTCAACCTCGACTGCAAGCCGGAAGCCTACATCACCGCCAGGCTTTCTGTGTAGTCGCCCGATAGACCTTAAACGCCTCATAGGCCTTGGCCCTTTAAACCCCAGGAAAGCTTGAAGGTAACACGTTGGGATGTTGCCCCTTCTACTAGCAGTCCTTAACAGGGAATTTTTCGTGCCCCCCCTATGATATTCCCTATTAAGGACTGTTAGTCTAAAGGGGAAACATCCCGAGTAACACCATACAACGGTAAGCCCCAAGAACCCTCATCGACCTCAGCTTGGTCTTCGAGTGCACGGAAAGCCAGGTAGGGTTGGCTTCCACGATCTTTCTTTAAGAAATTCATTGGGGAACTAGGTACCTCAGCTTCTACAGTAGCCTGTTGTATATTATAACCCTTTCAGAGCTATGTAGGGTATTTCATGCCCAAATGCCCCCTACTTCCCCTTAAGAAGCAGTCAGTTTGGCGCTTTGGAAATGCCGAAATCCGCCGAGGACCGACGTTGCCGCCAGCAAAATACGACTTCCTGCCAAAAGCGACAGGTCGCAGTACCAGGCACGGATCCACAAACACCATATGGGGCATTTCCGAAATCAGGTGTATGGGGGGGCTTCTAAGTCTATGTTAAGGATTAGACAGTGCTAGGGATGTATTAAGGGTACCTCTATTGGGGGAAGTGCCCATATCTTGCTGCAGACTTTCTATTGTGGACCGAAGAACCTATGCAGATATACACAAAAAACAGGGCAGTACCTGAATTGTTGGGTCCGTTTCTTTCTTGTAAGGTTATCTGGGCTACTCTAGGTTTCCCAAAGAATCCTAAGTATCTATATGGGGGGGTCACTTTCCCAAACCATAATAGCAATTCCGATTATAGAAACCCGACTTTCTACTATGCAGGTACTTCGGACCCTTTGGGTTTGGGGTCAGGTGGGGGCGGGGGAGTTGATCAGAGCTGCACTCGAACCTGGTGCTAGGTGGGCGACGCTGTCGAGTACTTCGGAGCTTCCCGCGGCTTCTGGATTCCGACGAAGGCCTTTAGGTTTAGGGTTTAGGGCTTGGGGTTTAGGGTTTAGGGTTTAGGGTTATCTATGATCGTGCTGCACAGTCCAGCACTCGATGTAAGAAGCTAAGACAGCGAAATTCTTTGCCAATGATGTCACTTTGCATGGCTCTCCTGCGACGTCTCTACGGTATCCGGGCTAAGTGAGGGAACTATAGCGTAGTCATGTTATCGACATGCTGAAACGGAAACTTTGTCTGACAGGAACACCTGCGCCCTGAAAGCAATTTCAACCCACATGTCTCAAACAAACAGACAGAGGAGTTTAAAACAATAATTAAACTAGAAAATAAGTACATCGCAATGATAAATAAGTCGCTCCAAACCACAAGGATTGCTGCCCTAAACCCTAAACCCTAAACCCTAAACCCTAAACCCTAAACCCTAAACCAAGGTGTCCAGGGTCAACGAAGACGGAACCTACGACTTGGCTTGCCGCGCGCCTACAGCCAACGAGAAGTCCCGAAAGATCCATGGGGGCATCTTTCCCTAAGGATCCTATAGAGGGTTAGGGTTAGGGTTTAGGTGTAGGGTTTAGGGTTTAGGGTTTAGGGTTTAGGGTTTAGGGTTTAGGGTTTAGGGTTTAGGGTTTAGGGTGTAGGGGTTTAGGGTTACTTCGGCCCTAAAGCTACCAACACCTTTCAGGCCCAAGTATATACGCTATAGGTACATGGATCGTTTGATGGATGTCGAGTTTGATGCCAGCAGGTAGCGGCTTCTTGACAACTTTGTGAGTCTGCCTGTGGAGATGGTTTAGGGCTTGGGTTTGCGAGCTCACTTGGGGCACACTTACTCGTAACATCTAAGCAGATGCACTATCATTTTGGGCTCAAGATATGTCTGAATTAATTGACCCCGATCTCATACAACAGATCAATCAACATCAATTCACATAAATCCTCTTTCGGCAGAAAGCCTACAAGGCCTACAACGTGTCTACGAACATGTACCAACTAAATCAAGGTTTGCGATGTATGTTCCTTAGTCTTTCCTCCTGTCCCTCATGCATGATGCTCTACACTTTCTTAGCCGCACAGCTCTTTGCATCAGCTTCGGCCGGAGAGTGCGACGCCAGCTCAGCACTTCAGCGAATCGGCGCAGTCTTTGAAAGGGTCCCTCAGTGTGAGATAGCGGATCTCAATGCAGGCCTGTGCGTGGGGAAGAACAAGTGCCACAAGTGCAACCTCACGGAGAACGTGTTGCCCACCAACGCCACAGGTTTCCCTGGTGGCAAGCTTCTTTGTGCCGGTGATGATGGAACCACGTGCTCCTTGATCGACAACACCCAGCAGATTATCTTCAAGAACTTCAACGACTACCTGGAATGCGCAGGCCAAAGTGTTTGCTCAGACTTTTGGAACGTGCAGAATGCCGGTGCCGCATGCTGCCTATCTAGCTCATCTCCTGACAAATTTAAGACGAAGCTTGCAAGGGTGCCCAGATCTCCTTGAACCCTGACAGCGCCTGCAAGAACGACGTGTGCTGCCTGGGAGAGGAAGCGTGCTTGCTGGCCACCCTCGGTGGCCTCAAGAGCATCAACTGTACAGGATCAGACACCTGTTATCAAGCCGTCGTGAGCCTGTCCAGGGACATCGTGTGCACCAGTGCCAGCACAAACTTTAATGCAGATGCTTGTACCTTGGCCGAGTTCACCCTTACCGAAGGTGGCGACCATGTTGTGAAATGCCTTGGAGAGGGTGTCTGCTATCAGGCGAAGTTCGACTTTGCTGCTAATTCCATGATCTCCTTCGAGTGCGACTCCAATATAAACCCGGCAGCCTGCTTTGAAACCAACGTTACCCTTCGTGGTGGTTCTTGCCTATTTCTGCAGTGCCAGGACCGGGTAGCCTGGATCCTGCACAAGTTTAGGCTTTGGATTCAGCCCGTTTCTGAGAAGTTGGGTTCATATATGCGTCTTGGTGATTTGTCAGGCAGATATTGGTTTGTTGGACTGCTCTATTAACATCATCTCTTGGGGGTTCACAGGCGCGAAGCAGTATGGAGGTGTGTACCGCTTTAAAATCTCTTGTGAGTTCGCCCATCTGCACGATTCGTGGAAGGACTCGAATGCTTGCGACCGATTTGTCGTGAACAAGGGGGTGAGTGACTCATGCTACTTCTCGGGGACTGGAGCCACGCCGGCGGGGTGCAACGCGACCAATGAGACGAAGCCGTGTGGCAACATCGATCCCGATGAGATCTGTTGTACAGGTGCTCGTAGCTGCGCCGACTGCTGCCCAAGAACCACTACCGTCACTACCACCACCGCGACCACGACCACCACGACTGCCACCACCATTGCGACTACTACCACCACCACTACGAGGACGAAGTCTCCTTACACCTACCACTCCTACTACTACTACTCTCAGTATCGCGGACGGCGCAGGAACCGTCGACACCGTCGCCACCGGCGCCAGAACCACCGTCAACGGTACTACAGCTTGTGACTGCGGGCATTGTCTTTTGCAAGACCTGAAAGGTCTTTCCGCATGGGGGCACCTCTGCCGAGTGCACATGAGACACTTTTGACAAGCTTATTCTGAGCTTACTGCATCCCGACTCCCAAGCCTGCCTGCCTGTCCGTGCTGGAAAGCCAAACCCTGCAACCCCTAGCGGCTGTAGCGGCCCTAGATGCTAGCCAAACCCTAAATAGCAGCAGAAGCAGCAGACTGACAGCCGCGCCAGAGCAAAATCGGAGAAAGCACCGAGCAACGTCCAACCTGGTCTTTTGGGCCCCTGTCGTGTGTTCTTGGACTCCCCCTTCTTGACGACTTTCCATTGCCACAGTTTGCAACGCAGCCACTCTTCCACCGGAAAACTTCGGCTCAAGGCTGAAGACAGCAAGCAGCAGGTGAAGGGTACTGCTTGTTAAGTTTGTGCCGCCGGAAGATGTTGTATAATGGATGTATTGAGAAAAGCCGAAAGCGCACGTCGGCTCGCCTTATGGCGAAATTTGCGGGGTTTAGGGCCGGGTTTAGGGTTTAGGGTTTCGGGTTTAGGGTTTAGGGTTTCGGGTTTCGGGTTTAGGGTTTAGGGTTTAAGCAGAGAAACATCAGGTGTACTCCGGTTGCGTTGCTACTCAGCGATCTGTTGTTCGGAGGTGGTCTGTTGGGCACAACCTACCTAGAGAAATCTGCATACCTTCAGATGGTGGATTTGCACTGCGTTAGGCATACAGCTTCTCCTGTTTAGCTAAACCCAGAAGCCCTAAACGTTACACCCTAAACCCTAAACCCTTAGCCCTGAACCCACCTGAGGCAAGCCGCGAGTGCTTGCGGAGAACATTCGGCAGCCCGAAAAGTCCCAGGCGCCAGCCCCGACGCGCACTTTTTGTTAGGGCGAATATAGGTTTTAGGGTTTAGGGTTTAGGGGTTTTGCCCCCTTTTTCTCTTGCAGGCCTGGGCTTGCTGTCACAGGCCAAGGCTTGCAGTTTTCTTTTAGTGCCGACTCCCTAGGGTTTAGGGTTTAGGGTTTAGGGTTTAGGGTTTAGGGTTTAGGGTTTAGGGTTTAGGCTTAGGAGTTGTAGGTTGAGGGTTAGTTGCCCTAGCCTTGGCCCGAAATACATCCCAGCACCAGAACATTTTAGAACCCTGTCGAACCTTCTTCCGCATGTTTGTTCGAAACCACCCTCGTCGCCTTCTGGGGGGTTCCGAAAAATGAGGGACCCTGTACTGTACACCCCCGCCAAATAGTAGGTTTCCCTTAGAAGAAGGACCCCAAGAAGGTACCCGTAATATCGTAAACCTGCTGTTGTTACCCCAACACGATGTCGACACGATGGGGTTCGAACACTAAACCCTAAACCCTAAACCCTAAACCCTAAACCCTAAACGCTAAACCCTAAACCCTAAACCCTAAACCCTAAACCCTAAACCCTAAACCCTAAACCCTAAACCCTAAACCCTAAACCCTAAACCCTAAACCCTAAACCCTAAACCCTAAACCCTGAACCCGAACCCTGAACCCTGAACCCAGGGTAAGAGGGGCTAGATCGAATGGGCCCCCGCGGTGCCCGTCGCCGAGCGCGTGGCTTGCTCGCATGTTGGACGACAATCGCTCTCTGGCGCAAGCGCGGGCGGCTTTATAGGGTTAAGGGTTCAGGGTTTAGGGTTTAGTTAGGATCTAGGGTTCTTTGTGCTTCTGGTTTCACGACATGCGAAACGGTCGTCGCTTTCGGACGTGTTGACTTCGCGAAATTTGAAGCCGTTTTCGTCTTTGGACTTCTTTGCTCACATAGTCTCCCATATTGTTTGGGGTCTTTAGGATGTACTAAGACTGCTAAGAGGGACTAGAAAGATGGGCAAGTGCGGAGGCCAACCCGGCAGACACGCAGAGAGGCGCTCGTTGCACTGGAAAGCTGTTTGCCCTTGCATGACCTGGACCCTGGTCCGAATATAAAATCCTGAAATGTGCTCGCATTTCCTTTTTCTTAGGGAGTTTGGTGAAAGCTGTCAGGGTATTGTCAGGGCACATGTTCCTTCCTTGAATTGCTGAGGACTCTTCAGCCTCGCTGAGCCTAGAGTCCTAATTACCCTGAACCCCAAACCTAATTACCCGAAACCCTAAACCCTAAACCCCTAAGTATTCAGTTCTCCAAACATGGTCCCATTCGGCCTCTCTTCTGCAATGGGCCAGGGCTTCAAACAACGGATTCCCAGAGTCTGTGAGGGTAGTTTCATGGGCCGATAGTATGGTCCCTAGCCTCCTCTCAGCTCCTGTAAAGGGTTCTGGTTTATGGGACATTCATTTGTACAAGGTATACAAGGGGTAGATAATGGGTCCCCTCTTACCCTAAGCCCTAAACCCGTTTGGGGGCCCGTACTAAGGGACCATACCCTAAACCCTAAACCCTAAACCCTTAAAGAGTCGAGTCCTCTTGACGAAGGGATCCATGTTTGGATGTGATGACCGAGGCGGAGGCTGTAAGGGTTCAGGGTTTATGGTTGAGGGTTGAGGGACACAACAAAATTTGCCCTAAACCCTAAACCCTAAACCCTAAACCCTACACCCCGCACCCTAAACCCGAAGCCCTAAACCCTAAACGCTAAAACCCTAATGAAAGGCCCCGTCTACAACATCGGAGACATGGTGGAATACTTCGGGGCGAGCCAAAGCCGCTGGATCCCAGCCAAGGCAAGAACTGGAGATTCAAGATTCAAGCACTAGAGTTTAGGGTTTAGGGTTTAGGGTTTAGGGTTTAGGGTTTAGGGTTTAGGGTTTAGGGTTTAGGGTTTAGGGTTTAGGGTTTAGCTAGACTCTGAACCCGTTCAAGGGTTCTTAGAATACGAACCCTAAACTTGGAACCCCGTCAAAAGGTTCTTATAGAAGGTTCTTAGAATACGAACCCTATAGACCTTCAACTTTTCAACCCTACTAGGAGGGGGGTGTTGGGAATATTTTGGGGGCTCTTCTGGGCACAGGATGTGCGAAGAAGGTCGATGATGTTACCGAGGCTAGGGCTAAGACAAGGCTCATTGCGGGGGGGGGGTGTCCGAAAGAAGGGCCCCCAGGGTAAAATTGAGGCTAGGGTTTGGGGGGGGTTTCGAGTTTAGGGTTTTGTTCTTTATAGAGTCTAGGGTTTAGGGTTAAGGGTTTCAGGGTTTAGGGTTTAAGGTTCAAGATATTGCGGATCAGGGTCCGGGGTGTAGGCCTATGAGGGCTTGGCAGGGAGCCCTGGGGCCCCTGGAACTGCTCCGCGCCCTGCGCCATCTCTAGTGTTTGGGGTTTAGGGTTTAGGGTTTAGGGTTTATAGGGGTTAGGTTTTAGGGTTCATTGGGTTCAGAGGGTTCATAGCGGCTATGTTTATAGGTTTTCTTCTTGGGTTTGAAGGGTTGGTGGGGGCTTTTCGGGTTTATACGGTTGAGGGGTTTGGATTTGGGGGTTATTCGGTCATCCCAGACATGATGCATAGGGGCAAGAGAGATTGGACTGCCCATGCGCGCCGAGCACCGGCAAAGCGCACCGATGGTTGCTTGAAGTGCGACCGGCCCGATCCGACCCCAAGCCCGCTAAACCCTATAGACCCTTTATAAGCCCTAGAATCCCAAAATCATTCTGAGCCACAAACCACTGCCAATGCGCCATGCTTGCCACGTTTCGTGGTCGCTCCTCGCAAGGTGGTGTCCATGACCCCTGCTGGCAACTACAACTTAGACGTGAAGCAGGAGCGTCGCTGCTGATTTCCACCATCTGTTTGTAGCCTACCTCTTGTGAAACCCGAAACCCGAAACCCGAAACCCGAAACCCGAAACCCGAAACCCTAAACCCTAAACCCTAAACCCTAAACCCTAAACCCTAAACCCTAAACCCTAAACCCTAAACTGCGTGCTGTGCAAGATGGGAAGTAGAAGCGCGGAGATCCGCTGCAACGGAGGAAGTAGCTGGCAACCCCCAAATCACAAGCCCTAAACTCTAAACCCCAAGCCCTAAACCCTAAACCCCAAGCCCTAAACCCTAAACCCTAAACCCTAAACCCTAAACCCTAAACCCTAAACCCTAAACCCTAAACCCTAAACCCCAAACCCCAAACCCTTAAGCCCTTAAGCCATGCTTGAGGATGTCCCGGTGGACCGCCTTCGCTCTGGTATGGCGCGCGCACCGGACCGGCCCGCGCCGGGGGACCCCGGCGGGAGCCCCCAGCCATGAGGGCTGAGGGTTTAGGGTTTAGGGTTTAGGGTTTAGGGTTTGGGGTTTAGGGTTTAGGGTTTAGGGTTTAGGGTTTAGGGTTTGGGGTTTAGGGTTTAGGGTTATAGGGTTTAGGGCCCTATGCTTTGAGCTCTGAGGGTGGATCGAGGGTTTCAGGACTCAGGTTTTTTAGGGGCTTGAGGGTTTCAGCCTTGTAGGTTTTTAGGGTTTAGGGTTTTTGGTGTCTTAAAGTTTTTTTTTTTTTTTTTTTTTTTTTTGGGGGGGGGGGTTAGGGATTTGGGGTTTTGCTGTTTTGGGGTTTTCGCGTGTTGTGTTTTTTTCTTTGGAGCCTTTTGCGTTTTGGGGTTTTAGGGGTTTTAGGTTTTTTTTGGTTTTAGGGACTTTAGGATTTATGGTGTTTTCAGGTTTTCTTGGGTGTTGGCTTTGTTTTGGGGTTTTTGGGGTTTTTGGGTTTTGGGGTTTTGGGTTTTGGGGGTTTCGGGTTCAGGTTCTCATGTTCAGAGTTTGGAGTTTAGGGTTTACCTCGGGGTATCATGGGCAGCTCTCTACGTGGTGCAAGTCCACCAACAAGGGCATTGCGGTACTCTAGGGGTCGGGGACTAATTGCTACAGTAAGGGGTATTCCCTTATGGTCCCTCTATACTTCTACTACACTAGAATACGTCCTTAATTTCTAGTGATATTCTCTTACGGTCCCTATATACATATACGAGAATCACTCCTCTCAAAACCCTGTTCTAATTGTTAAGGCTCCTCTTTTACTCCTTCCTATACTACCTTTCTAGGGCCCTAAACCCCAAACCCGACGCCACCCCTGTTTGAGCTGTTAACAAGCAGAGCTCGGAGAATCCCAGCCCTAAACCTCTACAAGCCCTGAATCCGAGCCCCGAGAATCCAATGAAGTCTGGCCGTCCCCACGACCTGAAGTCGTCATCATGCATGAGATGTTGAAAGTAGGGTTGTAGAGTTTAGGGTTTAGGGCTATGGGTATTAGGGTATTAGGGTATCAGAGTTTAGGGTATAGGGGGCCCCAACAAGGCTGGAGCCAGTTCTACTACCCAGATCGGAAAGTCAAAAACCCTTAATTAAGGAATATACCCTAATTTATACTAAGGATTCCTATCGTGAATTCGGGTATATACCTGAGTTAAGGGGTTTTGGACGATCTGGGTACCTATACTTGCCCGACTTACAGCCCCAGCTATGTAGCGACCCATCAACCTCCACGTGCAGCCCTTGCATCACGGGGTCTCAACCTTGCTGAACTAGTAATTGCTTAAGAGCCCCCAAAAAACAAAGATAATCCATACAGGGATTTTTGTTTTAAAATTCTTTTGGGGGATTTAAGCAAATAGTACTGAACCTTCCTGGACTTTCCTGAGATTTCACAAGGTTTACGTGGGAGTAGCTGCGGCTTCACGGGCAGTTCCCAATGACAACCTCAAACCTACGCCACCCTAAAGCCTGAACTCTGAACCCTAAGCCTAGCCCTCGTATTAAGGGTGTTAGGGTGGGGGGGGGGCGGGAGGCTAAGGGTTCTTGGGTTACAGAGCAGTCGGTCCCCAGGGTGATAGAGGGTTGATTTTTAGGGGTTGATCTGTACTTCTCAGGGTAACTTACATGAAACACGGTTTGTATTACTGCTATTGGTGAGCGTGCTCAGGGTTCCCTCTTAATAATACTGGTGAGTGTACATAATTGGTGTCTTTTTGGGGATACAAAGAATCTAAACCCTACCTCACATGGTGTCTTGAATATGGCGTCTTGCCTTCTGTAAAGAGTCCTGAAGTATGGGGCCCTGGGGATTGATCGATTTTGAGAGGGTATGTAAGGGGGCATTTAAGGGTTCCCTCAATTCAGGGTTCCCACGTTAAACGGGCCCACCCTAAACCCTAAACCCTAAACCCTAAACCCTAAACCCTAAACCCTAAACCCTAAACCCTAAACCCTAAACCCTAAACCCTAAACCCTAAACCCTAAAAACCCCAAGCCCATATCAACCCAAACCCTAAACTGTAGCTACCCTGAAAGAAGCACTGCGAATGGCAAGGCTCTCCGAGCTACGCCAGGGCGAATGCGACGATGCCTCCAGGCTCCACGCTCAGCACCGCCGCGGCCCAAGGGTGCGATACACGGGGAGCTGAGGGGGGGTTGCCGTTTAGGCGGCTCTTGTGCTGTCTTATAGTTTCCTTACTTGGGTTTATAAGGGACCCAACAGAATCATATTTTTCAGAGGGGCTTTAAGGCCACCCCAGAATATACTATGTTATAGCAATGAGTCAAGGGAGGGCCTCGCCCTTAGCTCTGAGATTCTGGAGAGTCTTGGGGAGATTTAGGTTTCAGGGTTTAGGGTTTAGGGTATAGGGTATAGGGCGGTTTCGCAGGTCTAGGGCTTCGGTCCATACTTCGCGCAATTCGAAGCTCCAAGCCCTGAGCCCAAACCCGCGCCCGAAGGTTGAGCAAGGTAACCTCAACCCCAAGCCCCAAACCCCAAACCCCAAACCCCAAACCCCAAAACCCTAAACCCTAAACCCTAAACCCTCTTGGTAAAACCTCAAAGCCCATTTCGTAAAGAGAGGTCTCTACCTTGATGGAACCTCAGCAGCTGTTGCGCTGCGTGCGGCGACCGGGCCTTGCCGGAGGGTGCCCCCAAAGGGTTTAGGGTTTAGGGGCAAAGAAGCCTGGGCTTCTCAGATTGGTGGCTTTGGGGCTGACAGGTTTTGCAGTGGCGACTTTGAGCTGTGCTCTAGGTAGGATAAGTCCCCCTTAAAGAGGACCCCTTCTGAACCCTCTTGTGGCTCTCTTCAACAGGGACCTTATTCAGAGGGTCTACATCCCCAAGGGTCCCCCTAATGCTATCCCCTACACTGTGCTCTCTGTTTGAGCACAGTAGGGCCATGTGCTTGTAGTGAGGCGGTATGTATTGCTTCCCTGTACACCTGATACCGTCACCCTATCATAGAGACCTCGAAATAGTGGGATTCCCTGAAATTCTAGGACCCCAATACTACACCCTGAATCCTATACCCTAAACCCTAAACCCTTAGCCCCTTTCGTCTTATCCTCTCGCGAGTTTGCTCGAGGCCCGTGTTCACGGGCAGTGCGTGCATCCGTCAGCGACGTTGTTGTGAGGCAATGCAATCACCATCAACCCTTCTCAAGAGTAGCCGGTCAGGGTTCAGGCTTTAGAGTTTACCGTTTACCCTTAAACCATGGAAGAAACAATTTGGGTACTTGCCCTTGCATAGCAAAGGCACATTTCGCATGGCTTCACAAACCATTTACCAAAATCCCAAACCTGTTTTTGTGGGTTTTTGGGGGATCCCAAGTACCTGCTCCCAGCACGTTAGCAGAAGCCCCCATAAAGCCCCAAAAGCCTCAGCAAAGCCATGGGCCATGCTGCATGGGTGGTGCAAAGTTCGCGCCAAGCAGCGCAGGTGCGTCGATTCGACGGGCGATTTTTTTTTTTTTTTTTTACAGGCTTCGAGTTGACTGCGGATTCTTGCATGGTGTTCTTTTTGCAAGGATGTTTTGTAAGATTTACTTTGGATGGGAAAAAGGGGGTGGGGGAGGGCGCGGCATGTTTTGCCTTCCTTTCTTCCTTCCTTCTTTCCTTCCTTGCTTTCTTGCTTCTTTTTCAGTGAGATGGGGAGGTCAAATGCAACAAAATAAAATTTCCCATTTTCAGACAGACAAAGTCATGAAACCCTTGAATGGCAACGGCTAGATGCACGGGGCAGGCGCAGATTCACCATCGCCCCTGCATCTACACATCTACTGAAGCCCCTCTGTCCCCCGGAAACCTCCGGGGGTTTTAAGCTTTGAAGCCCTAAAGCCCTAGACCCCAAACCTCCAGGGCAGCCGGGTAGCCCAAAGGTCCGGAACCCTCTAGCTAGGCCTGACCAGGCGTGACGCAGCCGCATGGATGGGGCGCGCCCTCAGGGGCAGAGGTCCCTGCACTCGCGCGGCGGCTCCCCGCTGGCCTCTGTGCCTGGGCAGTTTAGGGTTTAGGGTTTAGGGTTTAGGGGTTTCAGGGTCTACTTGCCGTAGTCGTGTTGCTTCTTGGGGGAACTGTGAACTGTGTTGATGGTGACAGTGTTCCTAGCAGCAGAATGGAACGAACTGCAAGCTTCGGCACCATGACAAAGAACTACAAGGTGGTGACGATAGTGAAGGTACAGGGCTAGCCCTAAGGCTCCATGTGCCCATATAGTAGATACCTAGGCCTTAAAGGGGTTCCTATAAGGGTACCTTAAGGCCTAGGTATCTACTCTAAGGGTACATGGAGCCTTTGGCTAGGAATGAAAGCCAACTGTTCAGGGAATTTTTTTGAAGGTCATGACGAGGCGCTACGGCAGGCTTGGCAAGACCGCTAGCTACTCGTGATTGGATAAGAGTCTGGTTTTTATGGTGGCCTGTTGCCAACACCTTCGGCTCGGCCCCTTTGCTCAAGTCGATTGGTGCCAGCGAGTAGAGGTCAGTTGAGCTACTGCTTCTTGCTTAACCCTGACCCCCTAGCTTGACACCTGCAGCACTTGAACAGCTGATCTTATGAGGCGGGCGGAAGGGCTTTTGCAAGGTAGTTATCCTAAAGGGGACAAAGGCTAATGACTTATAAAGATGGTGAAGCAGAGGTCTCTGACATGCCAGGTTTACTGGGGGGTCTTTGGTGAACGCGCGACACCAACAGATAAGAAGACAACAGGGGGAGGGGCTGGGGGAAGTTCGGCGATATCCACCGTCAAGCCCTCATGAGTCAGACTGAAGAACGGGTCCCAAGCACTAAACCCTGAACCCTTACCCGAAAACCCTAAACCCTACACCCTAAACCCTAAACCCTAAACCCTCAACTCTTACACCCTAAACCCTAAATCCTAAAAACTAAACCCTGAACCCTAAACCTTTAAACCCTGACCCTTACACCCTTGACGAAAACCCCCTCAACGCCCCCTTAGCTCCCCATGATCCTAAAGGACTCTGCCTCGCTTCGGCACCGGCACAGCCCGACCCCGAAACCGACCTCTCACAGAGGCCACCGGATGTCTCGTGGCTTTTTCCAGCCCTAAACCCTAAACCCTAAACCCTAAACCCTAAACCCTAAACCCTAAACCCTAAACCCTAAACCTGCTTCCAGTTTTTTGTGGTTTAGTTTCAGGGCTCTTAAGGTCTAGTTCTAGGGTGGCGTGAAAGCTTGCAACAGCGATCCACTCCAGTAGACTTAGGAGTATGTGTTTTGATGGGTCGTTGCCTGGACCCCTTACGAATCGCGGGCTTTGATTCGCAAGCTGAGGACAAGACTACCTCCATTGATGTAAGCTGTGCGGGTTCCTTAGAGCGATAGGTTCCTTCACGGGTGTCCCCACTCAAGCCCCAAACTCTAAGAGCCTCAAAGCGACCAGGCCACGCACGGGCACACTAGCCCTAAATCCTTTTGGGTGTATACGTACTATTTAGGGTTTAGGGTTTAAGGTTTAGGGTTTGGGGTCCTGGTTGTTGATTAATAATCGTGAGCGGGCAAAAAGAATCGCGTAATAAGAATGTGTGCCCACGTGAATTCACAAGAAAATACTGAAAAATACCTTGCTCTCTTCTTCGCTTACAAAATGCTTCATTAAAAAAGGAGCACAGCGCGGACAACATGAACTCTGCGAGTGTAAACTTTGTGATGAATGTCCCTTTTCTTCGCTATGTTTCCCTGTTCGTGAGACATTGTTACCTTCACATGAAACGCAAGACGACGTGCAAACCCTAAAAGCAAATCCTGAAAACCCGAAATACCCTAAATACCCTTAAAACCCTAAACCCTAAACCCTAAACCCTAAACCCTAAACCCTAGCTACCGACACAGGTGTGGCCGAGGGCGCGGTTTCGCGCGAGGCTTTCCACCGGCTCGAAGAAGCGAGGCGGCGGCTGCCGCTGGGCTACCACCATGGGATCCGCGCTTTAGGGTTTAGGGTTTGGGGTTTAGGGTTTGGGGTTTGGGGTTTGGGGGTTTAGGGTTTTGGGGTTTGGGGTTTAGGGTTTAGGGTTTCGGGCTACTCTGTTTTCGCCTCGAGTGGCCTTAGGGTTTATAAAGGGTTTAGGGTTTAAGGTTTTGGTAGCGAATCCCAGTGGTACCCTGTTTCCCCTTTTTTGGGGTTCTAGTTTACCTTATAAAAGTAACCAACCCCAAAAAGACAACCCACTGTAGTATGGTTGCTGGACCAAGCCTTGGCTACTGCAGGCCCAAATAGGGCTTGGTTCAGAGTCATTCAGGCCTTGTGTTGGTAGGGCAGGGGATTTGGGTGACGTGTCGGCATTCGGGCTCGAGGAGGTATCATGCGTTGTCCGTGCTTACAGCTCGAGATACAGGGGTAACCCTAAACCCTAAATCCTAAACTCTAAACCCTAAACAAGGATTTGCAGGGCTCTGGGTTGACAGGGTTGTGTGGGCACCTGAGCCTAATCGAGAAACCCCGGTAAACCCCAAGACCCCTATGTCCAAAAATGACCACACCCCAAACCCACAGCGGCCCTTAGACCCTGAAGCCCCAAGGCACTAAACCCTAAACCCTAAACCCTAAACCCAAAAAACCCTAAAAACCCTAAACCCTAAACCCTAAAACCCCCTAAAGACCACAAGCGCCCTTAAACCCGAACCCAGGCTGGTCGACCTGCAGGTCAAGCAGCAGGAGCTCACTGTTGCTGATTTACCCGGATGAGCCATTTTGGGGTTTAGGGTTTAGGGTTTAGGGTTTAGGGTTTAGGGTTTAGGGTGTAGGGTGTAGGGTGTAGGGTGTAGAGGGTGTAGGGTTTGGGCTTTGGGTTTAGGGTCCCTTTTTGAGGGGTGATTCTGGGATGAACACTAAACCCCAAACGGGAACCAAGAAATGCGCAGATGACCCAAGCAGATCACCACTGTCAGGAGCAGAACACGCTCGAGGCTCAGATCAAGCAGCTTCGCAAGGAGCCCTCTTTGCGTCTAAACCCTAAACCCTAAACCCTAAACCCTAAACCCTGACCCCTAAACCCTAAACCCTAAACCCTAAACCCTAAACCCTAAACCCTAAACCCTAAACCCTAAACCCTAAACCCTAAACCCTAAACCCTAACCCTAAACCCCAACGTTTAAGAAACCCTTCGAAAGCGACCAGAAGGTATGTTGTCTCATAGGTTGCTGAACCTGGATCGTGGCATGTGCCGAGAACCGGACGTGACGGATCGATGTTGCGCTTCCGTCAGGTTTTAAGGTTTAGGGTTTAGGGATATTGCTTGGCTGGCTGGCTGGCTTCTGCGAACTTCCTTCAAAACTTTGTCTTGTGCCGGTCCCACCACCACCTCCGGTTTACGCTTAAAATCGAAGCAAGTGCCTTGTCTTCAGGGCTTGTTTTTCGTGTTAACCTACGGCAGCTACGGTTTAAATGTCGCCCTCGTAGTGCCAACTACTGCACCGTTCCTGATGCCTAGGTTTGAACCCTAAACCCTAAACCCTTAACCCTAAACCCTGAACCCTGAACCCTGAACCCTGCACCCTGAACCCTAAACCTACCGCTGTCTAAGTGTGAAACTCTAGGAGACTCTGCGTCGCCCTGTTCAAGCCAGAGCCCCTAAGACCCTAATTAACTCGGAAACCCTAAACCCTAAACCCTAAACCCTAAACCCTAAACCCTAAACCCTAAACCCTAAACCCCAAACCCATCTCCCCCCCCCCCCCCCCCCCCACAAGCCCAAAGCCTCGCCCCTTCTGAAAGGACTTAGAGCTTGAACGAGCCCAGAGCACCGAGGCTCTGGCTGGTGGGTTGTGGCATTAGGGCTTCTGGGGCTTCTAGGGTTTAGGGTTTAGGGTTTAGGGTTATATTAGAGTAATGTTGCACTTGGTTTAGTATTGGCCCCGCTTTCAAGACAATTTGGCTGAGTTATTCAGGACACCCTGACTGTTTGGGAGTCCCTCTTTAAACACAAACCGTCCGGGCGCCGTAAGAAAATTCCACGTGGCGTGCCTTTAAAAAAGATTGCCGGGCATCGCTGCCCCTTTAAACTTATCTAAACTCCTCCCTATTAAAATCATATAAACCCCCGGGGCCGGCTAAACAGAGCAAATTCCAGCCTCGACTGTTCAGGGGGGAGGGGGGGCGGGCCCCCACATTCAAGCAGGTGCCACATTAATTGGGTCGGGGGGGGGGAGGGGGGGGGGGGGGGGGGGGGGGGGGTCGGATGGCATGTAATATTGTCGGGTGTGGGGGTAGGTCGGATTTTACATTTCCTGTATTGGGTTTAAGAGGATTATCTTCCGGATAAATCTTTCAGATGGTTTTCAGGGCATCCTAGTTCAGAGCTGTAACTTTGAAGGATGCCAGGGCTTGGGATTTCATCTCATGGGTTCAAGAACCCTGAAGCTTGAAGGACGTATGAAGGTTTAGGCTTGGGGGTATTTGTGGGGTATTTGGGGAGCCTAGATAGGTAGTTTGAGGGTAGTGGGGCCTTTTGGCTTTGTACGTTTAGGGTTGAAGGGTTTCGGGAAGTTTGGGCGCGCACGGGCTCCAGGAGGTTTGAGAGACCTTCGTGCGTAACACGTGAAGAGATCCCGACGCAGAACCAGCCCCTACTTCGAGGTTCATGGGGGTAGCTGTAAGTAAGGTTGCAAGTACCCCAAATAGGGTTATCAGTTTAGTTGCCATGATGAATAATAACCCTACGTATGACTGCCCATGAACCTCCAAACCATATCACTCTGCGCCCCTATAAGCCCTAAACCCTTCAAACCCTAAACCCTTAACCCTTAACCCTTAACCCTAAACCCTAAACCCTAAACCCTACCCTATATGAGCCGACCTTCCAAGCCTGGACAGCAAAGACCCCCTGCAACGCGCAGCATCGCGGCATCTCCCGAAATCTCTCTAAGAAGGAAGGGATATAAGTACCCTAAATGCGGGGTTGTAAGTAGTTGTAACTCTAGTTGCCCTACTTTATAACCCTACTTGCTAAGTCCCCTGATCCTTTAAGTACTCTTCCCAGAGTGCCCATACCCTTGGAACATGCCCCTTCCGCTAGCAGTCCTTAATCGGGATTATAGTACCCCTATTTCCCTTTTAAGGACTACTAAATGTGTACCAGGAGTGGCTATGATACCCTATAACCCAGGCCCTCTATAGGGTTGATTATGGGGATTATAAGGCCGAACAGCCCACCCTGGTAGGTGAAAAAAAAATCCCAGATAGGGTTTGGAGTTCGGGTTGCGAGGCTTTTCGCAGTCTCCGTGAGCAGCTGGAGGAGCAGCGCAGGGAGGGCGTGGCTTGGCGCGTCCTAGGGGGTCCCTAAACCCTAAACCCCAAACCCCAAACCCTAAACCCTAAACCCTGACTTGGGATCATTGAGCTTTTGGGGATCCGCGATTTGCACTTTCAGTTGCACCGTTAACTCCCTGTGTGCGTTGCATGCAGAATTGGCAATCCTGCAGTCAGGGTGGCTTCCAAAATCCTGAACCTCAACGCCTGCAAGATAAACCCTAACTTCAACCGGAAACACTGTGTCCTAAGTTAATTTTCTAGACTTTTTAAACCCGCAAACACAATCATTAGCTATAAACCCTAAAGCCTATACCCTTGCATCCCTCAAGTCTCTCAAGCACAGGTACTTGGAGGGTCACGGGTACACAGAAGTGGGGTTATAAGGAGGGTAACTATGGCTACAACTTCATTTAGGATAGTTATGTTTATAACCTCATTTAGGGTACTTCTATCCCCACTTCTATGAACCTTCAAGTAAACCCCAAACCCCAAACCCCAAACCCCAAACCCCAAACCCTAAACCCTAAACCCTAAACCCTAAACCCTAAACCCTAAACCCTAAGCCCTCCTTCAAGTAGCAGGCGTGCCCTGGCCCAGGCAACCCTGGAGCTGGAGATTCTCAAGGCCCAGATTGGTCCCTCGGACGGCAATGACTGCAGGGGTAGAAGGAAGGACCCCTAGGAAGGGATCCTGAATCTTATTCCCCTATATAACAACCCTATATATATATATGTATAAATAAATAAATATATATATATATATATATGTATATATATATATGTATATGTATGTATGTATGTATGTATGTATGTATGTATGTATGTATGTATGTATGTATGTATGTATGTATGTATGTATGTATGTATGTATGTATGTATATATGTAATATATGTAATATATGTATGTATATATGTATATGTACCTTGTATAGTCCCTATATACCTAAGTAGCCCCTAAACCCTAAACCCGAAAACCCTATACCCTAATCCCCAAACCCTAAGCCCTAAACCCTACATACCCCTCAGACCCCTTATGAGGGTCCCTCCTGCAGTCCCTTGAAATGAGACCCTTGAAGCCCGAAAATGCGGCCACTGTGGAGGTTATGGAGTTACGGCCCAGTAGGGCTCCCCAAAGCTGTCTGTACAACCTTCAGTTTCATAGACCACAACGTCACAGCCAGTTTTTGGCTGTTGGGGAGGACATCGTGCAATAGATGCGCTTCCACCCTTTCCCTCAACCCCTGTAAACCTCGATAATTACACTATACCTTTTCCACCACTACATGCCCCCGTCTCATGAAGCGTTTAGGTCCTCTAGACACTAAAGCCCTACATCCCGAAACACCTTAAATTCCTAGATTCAGACGCCTGAATCATGAAACCCTAAACTTAAACCTCAAAAAACCTTACACCCTAAACCCCTTAAATCCTCAAAGCCCCTAAACCCTGAACCCATAATCCCCCTAAGCTCCAAACCCTAAAACCATAGAACCCTGAACCCTAAACCCTAAACCCTAAAACCACCTAAACCCTGAAACCCTAACACCCCTAAGCCCCAAACCCTCAACTACTATAGCCCCTAAACCCCCTAAGCCCCTGAAACCCTAAAACCCCCTAAACCCCCTAAGCCCCTAAAGCCCCTAAAGCCCCTAAACCCCCTGAGCCCCTGAAACCCTAAACCCCCTAAGCCCCAAACCTTAAACCCCTAAGCCCTAAAACCCTAAACCCTCTAAACCCTGAAACCCTGATTCCCCTAAGCCGCAAAACCCCTAAACCCAAAACCCTAAACCTTAAAACCTAAACCCTAAACCCTAAACCCCCTGAGACCCGCAACCGCCCTCTTCTGGCGGCCCAGGAGCCTCCGACAAGTCTGAGGAGGCAAAGGAGGTGAAACACGAGGCCGACACCGCCACCCCGTGTCAACACTGGGGCCCGTAGTTCAAGAGCCCTTTAAACAAACGGCAGGGGCCACATTAAGAGACCATGTAACCCTAAAACCCCTAAACCCTAAACCCTAAACCCTAAACCCTGAACCCTGAACCCTGAACCCTGAACCCTGAACCCTGAACCCTGAACCCTAAACCCTAAACCCTAACCCTACTAACCTACAGCGGGAGGTTGAGACCAAGACGCATGAGATCGTGAAGGCCGGCCCTCAGGATGGGCTAGCAGGGCTTAGGGTTTGTAGGATTTGTTGGGTTTATAAGGGTTTATCGGGTTTATAGGGTTTACAGGATTTGTTGGGTTTATAGGGTTTGTAGGGTTTATAAGGGTTTATAGGGTTTGTAGGGTTTGTAGGGTTTGTAGGGCTTTTTCGGGTTTATAGAGTGTGTAAGGTTTTCTGGGGGGGGGGGTGTGATCCGCACATGGCGGGTTTGATCCCTATATTCAGCGCGATAAGGCGGCTCTAGTTCGGTATTTAATGCTTCTGCTGCCCATCCTGGTTGGGCCGGGCTAGAGGTTCTCCGAGGACCAATACACTGAGCCCCTGCATCCCTTTTGGTTTAAGCGCGACCTGTTCTTTTATGCCTAGTGGGTCCCAGTTTGCCTAGGGACCCTAAACCCCAAAACCTAAACCCTAAACCCCAAGCCCTAAACCCCAAGCCCTGAACCCTAAACCCCAAGCCTGAATCTTCCCAGGCTCTGCAGATGCTGTCTGAGCACCAGCAAGCGACTTTCCAACATGTGGCTACGCTGACATCGGACATGCAGCTTGGCGGAGTTAGGGTTTAGGGTGTTTGGGGTTTAGGGTTTAGGGTTTAGGGTTTAGGGTTTAGGGTTTAGGGGTCAACACCTTGCCACGGACAAAGCTTCCCCAAAGCTGCAGGAGGCCGCTAAGGGCTATCTCGACAGAAGTGTTAGTGTGCGCAAACTTGCCTTCCCACGATGTGCGCGGGCTCACCACGATGCCCAAACCCTAAACCACGTAGCCTGCATCTAGAATAGAAAGGACGCGTGGCAATTGTGACCGTAGATGTCGCAACTAAAAGGGACATGTTGGTTACTCGAGGCAGGTCCAATACTTGTAGCATGTCCATGATGGACCCGAAACCTCAAAACCCTTATCCTCGACCCTTAAACCTGTAAACCTAAACCCTAAACCCTTACACTACACCCTTAAACCCTTAACCCATCAACCCTAAACCATAGGCTTCGGGCGTGCTCGCAATCTCGCAGCCCTGCTCCCGGGGAAGTGCTGACCAACAGAATCAGAGGCCGTCAGAGCTTTCGTGTCTCGGGAGCGGGTTTGGGGTCCAGGCTCTAGGGCTCTAGGGATCTCCAGGGTTATGGGCATAGGGTTATAGGGTTTTTGTGTTTTTGGGTTATAGGGTTATCGGGTTTTGGGTTCTTGGGTTATAGGGCAGGTTTTTGAGTTTGGGGCTGCGTTCATGGGCATGACTGGGAACATGGCTATAACGGGTTGTAGCCGTTGTTTTTGGGGCTACTTTTTCAATAGCTACAGGGCACAACCTTTGTGGGATGTTGCAGCGACCCTGCTTCTATCTAGCCATGGGCCTTCGAGCAATCGGGTTAGGAGCAGATAGGACTCCGGGTATTGTGGTTCCATAGGATTCCAAGTACCCCTTGCAGCTAAACCCGAAACCACAAGAGTTTAGGGTTGAGGTTTTGGGGTTTATAGGCTTCAGGAAACTTCCTGCCCCATCGAGCCCTTAGCTCCACCCGATCCCCATACCTTCGGACCTTAGACTCAGGGAGCCTCCTGCCTAGTCCGATGAACCCTAAAAAAACAACATCGAACCTAATGTAAGCTCCAACGCATACGTAGACCTTACCAGGCCCAAGCAAACCCAAAACCACAAAACCTAAACCCCAAGCCGAAGCCCTACACACGGCGTAACAAAAGGCGACAGCTCCGGCCTGAAGGCTGAATGCTTCAGCCCGACACAACAAAGCGACAAAAGCAAACAAACAGCCATTGGCACAACAATGGGCTTGCCTCACGAGACTTGGCCACGGATGTTTGCTTCCGATCACAGATCACATACACACAGAGGCAAGCCCGCCACCTACAGCTTTGCCAGAGCAGGTCTCCCACCCTAGACCCTATACTATAGACCCTAAACGTCAAGCGAACGAAGCTCAGCAGGCCAGCATCACCTGCGCGCCGGGCAGTGAAAATGTGCCGCATCGGCCAACACGCTTCACTGCACGGATACTAGGCGCCCAAACACGACCTGGACGAACCTGGACACATCCACTCACCACCACAGCCTCTTATCGGACGCAAGGGTCCACCTCCTCCAACGGCAGCCTTCTGCCATCCCTTTCAAGCTGGCTCACAGTCAGTGTGACCTCCTCCGATGGGCGCAAGGAAGCCCAGGCCGAGAGATCCGCCAGGAGTACGTAGGTGCTAAGGCTCCACGATCTCTTGTGCTTGCGGTTGCGCTTGCGGTTGCGCTTGATCAAGGAATGCTCCTCCACCTGCTGCTGAACGACATAAAAACTAGATCCTACACTGCTTCTTTCCCCTAATGTTGACCTCCTTTTAATAACCCCCCCCCCCCCCCACCCCCCGTCTCAATTGATTTTTGTTTCCGCCCTCCCCGCCTATTGAGGAGCCCTGACCTACCCAAAAGGGCCCATAGGAAAAAAATGGGTCCCCGGGCCGGGAGTTCCTATTATTGAGGGGGGGTTTATAATTGAGTCCCGGGATCCGGATTCTTTAAGTAGGGGGGGGGGGGTTTGTAAAAAGCAGGTTAACATTATGCTGCTGAAGGATAAGGGTTTTTTGGAGTCCTTGGCTGGTGGCGGGCTTGGACCCTAACCTTAAACCCTTAAACCCTATATCCTAAACCCTAAACCCTAAACCCTTGCATGTTGGCGAGGCTTGGAGGCTGCGAATGGCCACACCACTCAGAGCACTTCACAGCCCTCCCTCCCTAGCGAGGCCCGGGCAGCGGCGGCTCGGACGGGAAGTTTAGAGAGTTAGGGTTTAGGGTGTAGGGTTTAGGGTTTAGGGTTTAGGGAAAAGGGTTTAGGGTTTAGGGGGTAGGGTTTAGGGTTTAGGGTTTAGGGTTAGGGTTTAGAGAGTCCGGAAAGGTTAAATTGCAGACAAGGTTTGTTCAGAGTGTTGGATGAAAATCCTGAGGTTCGGAGGGCTTGTCGGGCCTCAGGATTTATTGGTGACTTAGGTTGATGTCTTCGACCTGGGGGAGAGGGGCTTGGGGCTTTTGAATTGAAGGTTGGGTCGGAGGGGCGATAAAGGGACCCTTAAAAAGGGAACCCTTCTTAACCCTCTTCTGGCCCTCTTAAACAGGGAACGTATTCCAGAGGGTCTATCTCTCCCAGGGTCCCAAACCCTAAACCCTAAACCCTAAACCCTAAACCCTAAACCCTAAATCCTATCCCCTGTTGGGGAAGGCTGGAGGTACATCATGAGGGCATGCGCAAGATTACAGGGAAGGATGGGGCTCCTACAGGTTTGGGATTTTGGGTTTAGGGTTTAGGGTTTTTCGTCGTGAGGGGCACCTATTTAGGATGCGATTGAGAGAAAGTGGCCAAGCATGAAAGTGGAGGTCGATTGCCGAAAGAAGCGATGCGCCCAGAGGGTGCCCAGCGAACATGAAGCTTAGGGGGGTTTAGAGAATTTGGGCGTTGAAGTTGTCCCAGGGGAGGGGTCGGTCTATTCCGGATGGTGTCCTGCCTGGCTGTTTTCATGCTGCTGAAACTTAGGGCTTATGGCTTCAACCCTAAACCCTAAACCCTAAACCCTAAACCCTAAACCCTAAACCCTAAACCCTAAACCCTAAACCCAAATTCCTGGACTCCCACCCCAAGGAGCCGGAGAAGGCCTTCCCCTGCACGAGGCCCAGCGAGGAGGACACAGCTGGATGGATGCTGCGTGTGTGTTTTTTTGGGGGGGGGGGGGGGGTTTGGGTTTAGGGTTTAGGGTTTAGGGTTTAGGGGTTGAAGGGTTTTTAGGGTTTTAGGGTTTTAGGGTGTTAGGGTGTTAGGGTTTTAGGGTTTTCTGCATTTTGGTTTTGTTGTTTTGTTGTTTGGTTGTTTTGTTGTTTGTTTTTGGCAATCTTTCGGTTGAGGTTTGGGTTTAGGGCCAAGGTTAGGGTGTAGGGTTTGGGGTTTAGGGTTAGGGTACACCCGAACCCCATAAACCCTAAACACTCAGCATTTATTGTGATTTGAGGGGTGTTTCCGGTTGACGAAGGGATGGTTATTCCCTGCGAGGATGTGGGCGAGCTGCCCTGGCATCTTGGGTGCACTTGAGAATCTGCATCTTTCAATTGTAATATAGGGGCCTGAATAGTAAGAATGGGGTTTTGGGGGGGTCATTATCGTATAATTGTAAAGGGACCATAAGGGAATAACTTTTAGTAAGTATTCCGACCCCTACTTTAAGTACCAGGGAACCTTAGGAAAGACTAGGAAGCCGTAAGGGGCTAGTGGGGAGTACTAGGGAACCTTGTATTACATGCCCCCCTTTTGAACCCTCCTCCCTTCAGAACCCTACAGTACAAGCTTAGTCTGCAGACTTTGAGGCCAGGGAGTCATATAAGACTCCGTGCACTGAGCCCTGAATGCCAGAAAACCAAGTAAAACGCAAACCCTACCCCGCTGCAGCCCTGGGACACGCGCGTACTTCCCTGCACCCGAAGACCGGCTGCTTGCGAAACCCTGTTATGTTTGCTGAGGCAGGGCAGAACCATATGGCAGCAACCAAACCCCAAACCCCGGAACGCTGGTATCCCCCAAGCCCTAAACCCTAAGCTCGGTAGGCCCTTGGGGACATCTTGTATATTGGGTTTAAGAGGATCATGTTCAGGAATATTTTTCGCAGGGTTTTCAGGGCCGTCGTAGTAAACATCGGAAGACCCAGCAAGGTTCCAAGCCATGAAAGCGAACCTCGAGGACAGCGGAGATGGGCACTTGGCATCCTGCCACGGTTGGCTTGTGATGATTACGAAGATTTAGGGTTTAGGGTTTAGGGTTTAGGGTTTAGGGTTTAGGGTTTAGGGTTTAGGGTTTAGGCTTACGGCTCTGATGCCGCTGACGGTGATGGTGACGATGGCGAGGATGATGAGGAGGTGCATGATGCTCCTCCGACTGCGGCGACGACCACGACGACGACCACGACGACGACCCCTACTGCTCCTGCTACGACTACTCCTACTCGACTCCTACACTCCATCACGACTTGTACGACGACGACTACGACTACGACTACTATTTCCACCCCTTGTGCTACGACTACGACGACGACTACAAATTGCGACGAATACTACGACTACTCGTCTCGTCATGAACACCAAACCTAGGTCTTGGCTCGCTTTGCACCCATGCAGCTTTGTCCAGTCTCAAGCCCAACATATTGCACTGGCAAACACTGAGATACGATTTGGGGCACTTATTTCCGCTTTGTTCGGGGTTCTCGTGTAAAAAGCCCGGTACTGTAGCTACCGAACTACCCATGCACCTCCCCAAGTACGGCACCCTAAACCCTGAACCCTAAACCCTAAACCCTAAACCCTAAAACCCTAAACCTCCAGGTAGCCTCAAAACCATTGGACACCCCTGTCGCAGGAGTTTGGGGATGTCGAGGTCTTCTTAGAGCAGCAGCCACAGGCCGGCGTGAGGTGTGTGGGTTTTCGGATGAAGCGCTGAGGTTTGAGGGTTTAGGGTTAAAGGTTTAGGGGTTTAGGGTTTAGGGTTTCGGATTTAGGGTTTAGGGTTCAGGGGTTTCAGGGTTTAGGGTTCAGGGGTACCGGAGAAGAGTGGCGTCGGATGCAAGCAGTTTAGAGGGAGAGTGACGTGGCATGCACCCCTGGGTGCAGGAGTGCATGAGCTGCTGCCAACCGATAGAAGCTGACTATCGGGCGCGGCCCCGGAAATGCAGCCATGTATCTCTGCCAGACAAGGGGGATCACATGTCTGAAGTGGGTTTAGGGTTTAGGATTTATAAAGGGTTTAGGGTTTACGGGGAGTATCACGTGCGCGCATCCACTGAGCCATGAACCCAGTTGAAGATTTGGTGGTAACTGTACCAGTCACTAACCAGTTTTCGGGTGTCTCTTGAGCGTATACAGAGGGCTGTTCTTAACCAGTCTCCGTTTGGGGGCACGAAATTGCAAACCCCCTCACCCCACCTTCGCCCTTCGGCATAGCGCGTCATCGAATTTGATGCCGGAAGAGTTCCTACAAGCCCCTGAGAACCGCCCAAGAAACCCAACTCCACCATCATGGACCTTCTAGGACCATCTGCACAGAACAACCCTGAATCTTAAACCCTAAACCCTAAGCCCTAAACCCTAAACCCTAATTAATCCCTAATCCCTATACCCTAAACCCTAAACTCAAGGTGTTCCACGTGGAGTGCTTGCTTCAGTGCTGGAGCGAAGGGGTGTGCCCGGTCTGCGGCGTGTCTTTCGCTCCGGAGGTGCACCTCCCTCCCCTTTCTTAGGGTTTAGGGTTTAGGGTTTAGGGTTTCGGGTTTAGGGTTTAGGGTTTAGGGTTCAGCTAAGGATGCCCAACAGTCCCCGAATCACCCTAAACCCACCTCTTTTAGGGCCTTCAGGTGTAGGATCCCTCATAAACCTCTTTTCAAAGCACACACAAATTGGGCACTTAAGGTGACCCCTTCGGGCTCAGGATGGCTCAGGGCTTCACGGGCTTAGTTTTTTTTTTCTGATTTGGGCTGTATAGGAGAGGATCCCTAAACCACCAGAGGTTTTAGGAAGGACGTGAAGGCCGGTCAAGATTCTGGTAAGGTTCAGGGTTTGGGGTTAGAGTTTAAAGTTTAGGGAGGGTCAGTGGAGGGTCCTTTTTTCTGGCCATATGTGTATCTATATGTATATATATATATATATGTATGTATGTATGTATGTATGTATGTATGTATGTATGTATGTATGCAGGTACATAGGTGTGTGCGCATGTGTGTATATGTATATATACACACACTTATGTTCATTTGTTTATGTAAATGTTGACATGTATACATGCACACTGCACACATGCATACATACATACATACATACATACATACATACATACGCACATGCATCCGTACAAGACATACATACGTACGTACATACATGCATACATACATATGTAAAAAGGGGTGTGTGGAACCTACAGGTCAGCTTCTGAGCCCTATAACCTTGCCATCTCTTGCTGTGCTTGGGCGCGCAGGCTGGGCTTGGCACGACCTCCAAAACTGCCTGGACATGACTTGGCGCGGAGGAAAAGCCTCACCATAAGAGTAATGACAACAAGAATAACAGCACACAGTGACCATAATGTCAAAAATAGCCATTGATAAACAACCATAGTAATAGCCATAACAGCAACAATAGCAGCAAGAACAGTCAGCAGAATAAGCAGCATACGGTTGCTGCCGTTTCTTTCTTTGCTAACCTGGACACTCACTTGTCGTTGCCTAAGCCTCGAAGGACGACTAGCATAGGCGGGTTTAGGGTTTAGGGTTTAGGTTTAGGGTTTAGGAACCCAACATGCATCAGAGACGATGGTGAATTCGCCTTGATTTCTCTTGCCCTATGAATGTAGCCAGGCAGCTTTGGGCATAGGGGCTTGGGGACTGGATGTTCGTTGTCTGGTTTCTTCTGACCATCATGGCATGTGAGTTCTATCCGCAGGCCCGGAGATACGAAATGAAGATGTGTAGCCAGGAGATCTGCTCAACAAATTGGGATGTTCCCCCTTATACTACAGTCCTGAATGGGGGTTATCGGACCCTCTACTAGAATCCCCTATAATGGGGAACATCCCTGCTCATTCATTTTGCCAACACACACACACACAGACACCGATCCCTACCGCCAAAGATATCCACTGGAACGAGTGCTTTTCGAGGTACAAGCTGGAGGTTTGTCCGGAGGCGGCCGCTGCATTGGAAAGCATGGGACAGCTCTTGGCTCGGAGCACATGGTTTAGGGTTTAGGGTTTAGGGTTTAGGGTTTAGGGTTTAGGGTTTAGGGGGATGGCACTTCAGGGTGTAAGGGGTGCAGGGTTGTCCATGTTGGGGTCCCAAACTTGGGGTAGTTTGATGGTTGGGGTGCAGGGGTTTAGGGGTTTAGGGGTTTAAGGTTTAGTGTGTAGGGTGTAAGGTTAGGGGGTTTAAGGTTTATCTCGACGAATAATATATGGTCATGATGTGCGAATGACATGGGCATCCCGTGTTGCCCGTGGCTCTGAACACTTGGGTTTTGGGGTTCCTGTTTCTGGGTGTGGCCATTGCAGTCTTAGCGGCCAAAAATTCCACGGTATGGGTACGGACCCCTTTGAGGTCACTCGAGAGAAAAAGAGCGAACTCTAGACTGACCTCTAAATCCCCTAAACCCTGCAAGCCCCGCCTAAACCCCTACCCAAAGGCTCCTTTGCAGTACCTTTTTGGGGTAGTATACTAGAATCCCCTCTACCTAACCCAAAACGGAACTACATACCGAAACCCCAAAACGATGACAGAGACCTTGGTGCCCCGAGGCGCGGCGTGGTGGCGTGGCTCCCGGTGTGAGTGAGCTGTAAGCGTCCGTGTACCTAGTTATGGGTTTGGGGTGTAGAGTGTGTAGGGTTTAGGGTTTGGGTATGATTTGGAGTAATTATATACTTGGGCCTTGATTGGGTTTTGGGTTGAGGCTGTGGTTCAGGTCTTCCTATGTAATATCTTTGGGCCCAAAGTATAAACTACATAGTACGCGGATCCTCAGGGCTTGTCGGATTTCAGATTTCAGTAGACATCAGTGCCCATTCCGGAGCGATCACCTGTTGGAAAAAGTAAAAATCTAAGCCCTGACCCCCGACGAACCCCCAAACCTCACCCTCAATCCTGTACCCTAAGCCCTAAAACACCCTAAACCCTAAACTCTAAACCTGAACCCCTAAACCCTAAACCCTAAACCCTAAACCCGGACATGCTTTCACAATGCCCGAGGCCATCGCGCTCTGCGGTACGTGCCAAAGTGGAAAGACGTACTTGTGTCGGCCTGAGCTCTGCGACGAGAGTTGGTTTAGGGTTTTAGGGTTTAGAGTTTTCGGGTTTATAGGCTTCAGGGTTTAGGGTTTCAGGGGCTTAGAGTTTTGGGTTTAGGGTTTAGGGGTTAGGGTTTGGGCGTTCATTTCTCTAAGGCTCCAACTGTAGGGGGGGGGGGGGGGGGGGGGGTCCGCAAGAAAAAATGGGGGTCTTTTTTCGGTGTCCTTGTCAGCGGGAGTCTACTAAAGGGCGTACCCCACTTTAGGAAACTCACAACAAGTATCTTCTTTGAACTCTCGCCTCAAAACAGGTGCCTATACATCATCATAGCTTCCAACGCATGTACTATATGTAACATAGTACACGTATTTTATTTATACAGAGAGAGAGAGAATACAGTGCTACCACAATTAAGAGTTTAACCTCTTTTTGGATCAGGGAACTCAGCCACTAGGACACCGAAACCCTAAACCCTAAACCCTAAACCCTAAACCCTAAACCCTAAACCCAAACCCTGCACCCTAAACCCTGCACCCTAAACCCTAGACCCCTTTCAGGGCAAATCATCTCCTGGACCGTCCTCAGCAGGGACTGCCGGCCGACCCCTGAGCATTTTGGAGCATGGTGCGTGGTTTCAACCTTGCATTCGACTAAGCAGCCCTAGAACCTAAACCCTAAACCCTAAACCCTGCCAAACCCCAACCCTAAACCCTAAACCCTGCACCCTAAACCCTAAACCCTAAACCTTAAACCCTAAACCCTAAACCCTGCCAAACCCCAAAGCCAACAGCACCTTTCAACAAGCTGGAACATGCAAGTCGTAAGCCCCACTTACGGCGCATTTCAAACCCCACAAAACCCCAAAGCCCCCCTAGTACAGACTCGGAGTCCCCTTCGTCAGCCTTGTATGGCGGCTTGTAGCGAGTGCGTGAGCCTAACCCCAAGCCCTATGGGCACAACTTTCCCTACCCTGAACCTGCGGTACCCTTGTAGTCCTGCCGCCTGCCCTTTAAAAGCTCATTCCGGCGAGCAAGGGATATGGGGTTTCCCAAGGAAAGTGGGGAGACCCCTAGTTCGAATTATCGTATTTTGGTGGTTATCAGGGGATCCCCTTGTTTAACATACACATCTTTTGTGTCAGGTTTCTTATGGAAACTACTTGGAAGGTTCATGGGTGGTTGTGAGTAACTACGCGCCCTGCCACACGGGCTTCTCACCGGATTCCACAGTGACGACCCTACTCTTAACCCCAGCTGTAGCTACCCATCAACCCCTACCTGACCTTGAGGGAAACAATCCCTGCGGCAGTCCCTACCTCAACCCGCAGACCTACACTTCACTCGCTACTCACGCTTAGGCCCTATGGCTAAGGCACCAGTTAGCCAGATAGCAGCCAGCAACAACAAAGCTCATCGACTCGTTCCCCAAAAGAAGCTATAGACCAACAAACAGATATCAAGACCTATGAATCTTCAATGAGATTTGCAAGAAGCCTATAGGCCAAAAAGCAGACATCGCGACCTGTGAGCCTGCAACTGGCTTCCCAAGAAGCGGATCAGACTACTGCCCTCGAACCCTAAAACCCCAAACCCTCAGCCCTTGGCGTTTCATTCCCTCAGCATCCATGCACCTTCTTATATACTTGGGCCTCAAAGTCCCTATGTAGGAAGCACTAGTACGTTTAAAGCCCAAGTGTTCCCTGTTTAGGTACATGGACCCTTTGGGAACCCTAAACCCTAATCCTAAACCCTAAACCCTAAACCCCAAACCCTTTGGGCCTTTAAGGCCGAACCGAAGTATCGATTCGAGGTACTTCACGTCGGCGGATCCCTATGGTCCACAACTCGGACGGAAGGCCAGCCGTCTTGTGATGATCTCTCAGAACTGAGAGGTTGGCCCCTCTCAACCCTAAACCCTAAACCCTAAACCCTAAACCCTAAACCTTGAACCCTGAACCCTGAACCCTAAACCCTCAACCCATGTACCCAGCATGTTTCGGAATCAGTTTGTGCTGCCCTAAGGAGGCCACGTGTTTCAGGTTGTAGGTTTGGGTTTTGACGTTTGGGCTTTGGGGTTTGGGGTTAGAGTTTACGGTTTAGGGTTCAGGGTTTTTGGGCCCTAAACCCTAAACCCTAAACCCTAAACCCTAAACCCTACACCCTAAACCTAAACCCTAAACCCTAAACCCCGGACGGTTCGGGATTCAGGTTGTGGCCCTTTGCCAACACACTTTTTGCAGGTGTCTGGCTGTGGGCGGGAGGGGCGGACAAAGATGAGAGGCGCCATGCTTGGTGTGGATTCTTGGGTTTAGGCTTAGGGTCTTTATTTGCGCAGAGTGCAGCCATATATATATATATATATTACCTTTGCTTCACTCCCCTTCTAACCCCGATTAACCAAAAGTGCGTATGCTTTTGATTCCTACAAGCTGCACGCTTCCTCTGGAAACCTGTGTCCTAAACCCCTGTAAGTGTAGTTCCCTTTTTTCGGCTTTTGCTAGTTTCAGGCAAAGTGGATTGCTTTTCATCGCGAGTTTTTTCGCCCTCAGAACGTTCGGGCTAAATTACCCTGGCAACTTGGGGACGACATGGGGACTAAGAATTTGTATCTTGTGTCCCATCTGCAGCATTTGTTCCCTTTCATAGTCTTCTGTCTGGACCATCTAAGCCCTTATAGGGTGCAGGTTGGGATGTGCCCCCTTAGACCAACGGTCCTTAATAGGGACTATAGTACCCCCTATGAAAGTCTCTATTCAGGACTGTTAGTATAAGGGGGAACATCCGTAGGTACTTGCGCAGGGTCTAGGAGTTTAGGGTGGATTTTGCGGACCAAATGAACCCTGAAATTGTGATCAAACACCCTGTAGTACTATAATCCCTACTCAGGTATCTGGACCATATTATGCCCTTTTTGGGGTTCTGGTCGCAAAGCAAGTACCGTGATGGTCGATCTTGCCTGTGAGGAGTCCAGTCATCCTCATCCTCGATTGCGAGGCAGTCGGAGAAACTGGGTCCACAGAACCCTAAGCCCTAAGCCCTAAGCCCTAAGCCCTAAGCCCTAAGCCCTAAGCCCTAAACCCTAAACCCTACTTGAAGGAAGCTTCACGGCCTGAAAAAGGACCCCAATGTCGCCAGCCCAAATATCGTAAACCCCCCCATAGCCCTACACCCTGAACCCTTCTTCATTCCCTTAGAGGGCGGGGCCTTAATGATTGGAGCAAGGTTTTGGGTGTTATTCTAGT